AAAAACAACACTTTCATTTTTATTAATGATTTTTAAGGACCAATTTATTTAAAATAATGATTCTATTACAAGTTTATTTTGTTAGAATGTAAATTGTGTGTTTATTTTCCTCTGCTCTTTCAAGAAAGGACCTGAAGTTGTTTCAAATTATTGAATTTCTACAATATTTATCATACAAAACATTCACTTTGTTTTTTGATCTCAAAAAATTATGTTTTAATAAAAAATTTGACCTAATATCAAACATTAATGCCTAATGTTAAATACTTGATATTAAATATTAAATATTAGTATTAAACATTACTATATGGCACTTTTTTTAAAAAAACAAAGAAACCAACATAAAATTGTGAAGCATATCAAGACTGTTCAACTTGTATATTTTTATTCATGATTTTTTTAAAAAGATTTCATAGTTATTTGGAAACTATTGAAACTAAAATTTTTTTTTGTAAATTTTCTTTCTACAAATTACAATTATAAAAACTGTTGCTAATATTCTTTAATTATTACTACAACTATTACTAACTGCTAACATTTCTTCTCTTATTATTGCATTTCATAAAATGAAAAAGTTCAAATGCATTTGAATTGTCTTTAGTGTCTGAGTTTAAACATGTAGGCATGTCAATATTAATATGTAGAGTTAGTAGTTGTGTTAAATTAATTTTTGATTGACTTTTGACTTTGAAGTTAACTATTTGTAATAGTAAATATAGTGTAATATTAATAATAAAATAAAACATGCTCGAGTGCCTGAACATAGGCTGGTCAATATTAGCACTTATCCACGTTTACTAATGGTCATCCGTGATTTTTCATAGTGATATTTTAAAAACCGTGAAAATATTAAATGCAAATCATTTTTAAACTTTATTATTTATGCAAAAAAGTGAAGACTTAAAATTTAAAAGTTACATTATTAACACTACAATTATTAAAATAGGAAATTTCTTTTCTGTATCATCAAAAGAAAATTCTGATGTAGCCTTATTGAAGTTGAATTGCCAAAAATTGATCTTGTTGGTTCTAAAGCATGGATCAAAGTATCCATAGCAGCAAGATGTTGTTTTTCATTTACTTCTTTATACGCACAAATACCTTGTATGCTTTTATGACCTGTTGTTCAATTAATTAATTAATTCGGAATTCGTAATCTTATCAAGTGGCATAATATAATTCTTGCGAAATTCTTCAAATTTAATAACCCTTCAAGTTGATTTTTCAGTATTTGCAACAATAGCTTTTTGACAATAAAAATTAAGTTTCTCATAAATTTCAGATGGTGTTTGTTGTGATGGAATGGTATTTGAAATACTTTGAGAAATAGAATCAACTGGTAAAGTAGAATCAAAACTTTTTGGAAAAAGAGCAGACTTGCATTAGTAAAAATAGGTTGAAATGCTTATTTGGGATCTCATTGCTTTTTATGGTGAATTTGACGCATTTTTACTAAATAAAGAAATGTTTTAAAAAAGGTAAATTGTATTTTTTTATCATAAGCAAAAAAAAGACTTTTATGTAAAAATAAACTTTTTCATTGAAAAATAAACTTTTTTTCATTACGGAAGTTAGTCTCCGTAAAATAACTATTACTATTACATATATAGTAGATGAGACAAGTTTAGGTGCAGGTGTTTGTAGTTTTAAAATTGATGAAAATAGTAAAACAAAAAAAATCCTGAAATTCTTATCAATCGCTAAAGTTTGGTGATGATGCAATTTTTATTTTCATAAACTATTTAACTGTCAAAAAAACCCCCATTATTGTTATAACAAAAGGTGAGTTATCAGTCAGTAGAGATTCCGTACAAATAATATTGCAAGAAAATTGTTTGTTACACATTCTGCAAAGAAAAAAAGAATTATAAATTAACATTTATTCTCAAAAAACTATTCATTAAAACACCAAAAAAATTTATTTATATAATGTCATATGTTAAGCTATTATCATCATTATCGCCAGAAAGAGAAGAATTTGTATTTAAAATTTATAATGAAATGTATGATAATGCTTTTGTTAATTCTGATGGAGAAAATGAAAAAGAATATTTTTTTTCATTAGTCAAGAAAAACAAGAAGCTTTCTAAAATTGAAAAAGAGTTTTGTAAAGGAAGGTTTATTTATGAGTCTGAATTATATAATGCAAAAAACAAAGAGGGAAAACCAAAAGAATGTGACAAGTGTAAATTAACAAGATACTCTGATAGATTCTGTGAAGGTTGTATTAGTTTACAGTTACAGAGTTTCTTCACCACTTGGACATCTGGAAATAATATAATTGACAATTTTATTCAACAATGTCAAATGAAATCATCTCTGCCAGGCAATATTTTAGAATGGATACCTTTTGAGCAATTTGAAGATATAACAAAATTAACTGAAGGTGGATTTAGCTCAATTTATAAAGCTACATGGACAAGAGGAAGTATTGTTGATTATGATAAAAATAAAAAGGAATCTAGTTATTTTGGAGGTAGTGGGCAACTAGTAGTATTAAAAAGTTTAAATAATTCAAGTAATCCAGGAAAACGTTTTTTTGATGAGGTTGGTAGTTGTCATTTAAAACAAAATAAACAATACTGTATTATATAATACTAATTGATTTTATATTTATTTTCAGGCAGTGAATTATTGTAAAATTAAATCAGGGTTAATTGTTACTTGCCATGGTATAACTAAATTCCCAGACAATGGAAATTATGCAATAGTTTTAAATTATTTGAAAGAAGGAAATTTAAGGGATTATTTACAAAAAAATCATCATAATTTAACATTAAAAGACAGAATTACAATCTTTAATGATTTATGTGATGCATTATATCATATACATCAAAAAGATTTGATACATTGTGATTTACATAGTGGTAATATATTAATAAGTGGAGGTAGTTGTTATATTACAGATTTAGGATTATGTGGGCCAGTTGATGAAAAATCATCAAATAAAGTCTATGGAATTGTATCATATATTGCACCTGAGCTATTTAGAGGTGAAAAGAACACAAAAGAATCTGATATCTATAGTGTTGGGATGTTAATGTGGGAAATATTTGCAGGTCACCCACCATTTGATGATAGAGCTCACAATCATCACTTGATGTTTAATATATGTGCAGGTTTACAACCACCAATATTACCAGAAATGCCTGACGACTATGTGCAAATGATGCAGAGGTGTTGGGATGTGGATCCATCAAAAAGACTGACTATTAGAGAACTTTGGAAATTTTCTATTAAGAAATTAGAAGAAGTACATAATAATAATAGTAATAGTAGAAATACTATTATTATTAGTAGTAGTAGTGTTTTGCAACAAGTACACAAATCACATCCAGACGCATACCATAAAAGTAGAATCTTAGATGGAGAGATTGCCAAATATAAAAGGTTAAAAAGTTATACAAGTAATGAAAATAATCTTGGTTTTAATTCATTTCTCTTAAATGATGATTTTAACAAAGGTGAATAAAAATAAATTATTAATTAATTAATCAGAACTAACTATTGATTACTAATGGTATTTTTTAATAAACATTAGATTCTAGTAATAATAGTAAAAGAAGAAAGGTTGATGAATGACCAATTTAATCTCCATTATAAATTTATTTGTTACAACTATTTATCTTTTTATTTTATCCTTATTTGTTTCTTAAAGCTAAATTATAATAATATTTTAATAAAGTTTTCTGATTCTTGTTAAATAGTGATATTGCCAATTGCGGTTTACCCTTGTCAGTTAATTGCAAGAAACTTGCAATAAATTGATGCTTGTCAATTAATTAGTTTACAATGCATCTCACTTACTGCCTCAGAAAGCTTCATTGAATCTTTAAACACATTTAATGGTATCAGGTAAATAAAATGGCTCTTTTACAAAGCTCAAAGGCTTTTATAAAGTTCCTTTTATTCACTTGTGATCAATTTATTTCAGTACCCTTGTTTATATTTATTGGTAAAGCTCCGAACTTAGGCTAAAAACTATTTGGCAGTTCCTGATATTCTAATTTTTGCACTCTGCTTATTTAGAACCAAACCCACTAATTTTCTAATCTAATAACAACCAGTGAACGAGTTTTTTCTGGAGGCACAAACTTGATTACTCAAAGGCGTTGTATTTTAGAACTTGAAACATAAAGAGTTTAAAAGTATGCGGAGATGATGAATTTTATATATGAATTGAAAAAATAGAACGTCCTTAGGATTTCTATTCGAAACGAACAAAACAAATGAAACGAACAAAACAAATGAAGCGAACAAAACGAATAAAATGAATAAAACAAATAATTCGAATAAAATGACAAAACAAACAAATGAATAAATAAAATGAATAAAACGAGTAATTCGAATAACGAATAAAGCGAATAAAGCGAATAGAATGAATAATTCGAATAGAACAAATAAAGCAAAAATAAACAAATAATTCAAATAAGAATTTGTATTACGAATATGAACTCTAAACATACAAATTTTTGTGGTGAATCTATTAATATGTACCGATCCGACCTATAACTGACCAGCTGTATCTAAACATAGCATTATGTATAAAATTCAATAATCTCCATGGTATAAAATTATAGATTATGTATTAGTATGTATTTAGAACAGGATCCTTCCAGCATCTCTACTTCGTAACACATCCGCTAAACTAAGCTACAAGTTATTATAATTTTTTTGAAGTTATTATGTATAACTGAAAAACCGAACCATTTTGGAGCTTTATTTATTGGTCATTGCAATAATTACCAATATTTCCGATTAATCTTTGAACCAAACAACCAAACATTAGTTGTGACCTTTGCATACCCACTAAAGTAAATAAAGTGTGGCCTTTGCAAAAGCTTCACAATTGTTTCCATTTTACCAATGTGTTGTACTGTTGCTTTCACAAAAATTGCTTTAAACAAAGAAAATAAAAATAACACATTCTTTTTTATTAACAATTTTTAAGGATTAATTTATTTAAAATAATAATTCTATTACAGGTTTATTTCATTATAATGTTAATTGTATGTTTATTTTCCTCTGCTCTTTCAAGAAATGACCTGGAGTTGTTTCAAACTATTAAATTTCTACAATATTTATTGTTTCAACATCAATATTAAACATTAATGCCTAATGTTAAATACTTGATGTTAAATATTAAATATAACATTCCTATATGGCACTTTTTTTAAAAAAACAAAGAAACCAATGTAGAATCATGAAGCATATTACCACTGTTCAATTTGTATATTTTTATTCATGGTCTTTTAAAAAGATTTTATGGTTATTTGGAAACTATTACTATTATTCTTTAATTATTACTATATCTATTACTAATATTTCATTATTGAATTTCATAAAATGTAAAGACTAAACATGTATGAATTGTCTTTAGTGTCTGAGTTTGAAACAGATGTAGACATGTCAAATATTAATATGTAGAGTTGTGTTAAATTAATTTTTGTTTTGATTTTTGACTTTGAAGTTAACTACATGTAATAAAATATGATTGAGTGCCTGAGTTTGAAACACAGGCTGATATGTAGAACGACCTTTACATAGTACATAAGACAGGTTTAGGTGCAGGTGTTGTATGTGAAATTGAAATATTATGGAGTGGGGTGAAATTCTGATTGGCTAATTTGAATTTCACACATGTAAATTTGAATTTCACATAATTTCATTTTCATGTACATGGATTTTAATTTCGAAGTTTTAAAATTGGTGAAAATAGTAAACAAAAAATCCTGAAGTTCTTTTATTGTTGAATCAATCACTAGTGTTTGGTGATGATGCAATTTTTATTCATAAACTATTTAACTGCCAAAAAAAACCCTGTTATTATTATAACAAATAGGAAATGTACAAATAATATTGCGAGAAAATTGTTTGTTACACACTCTGCAAAGAAAAAAAAAATTATAAATTAACATTTATTCTCAAAAAACTACTCATTAATTTTATAATAATGTCACATGTTAAACTATTATCGTTTTTACCACCAGAAAGAAAAGAATTTGTATTAAAAATTAATTCTGAAATACGTAATGATGAACTAGTTAGTTCTGATAGAGAAAATAGAAAAGAATATTTTTTTTCATTAGTCCAAAAAAACAAGGAGCTTTCTGAAATTGAAAAAGAATACTGTAAAGAAAAGTTTATTTATGAGTTTGAATTATTTACTGCAAAAAATAAAAAGGGAAAGCCAAAAGAATGTAACAAGTGTAAATTGTCAAGATACTCTGATGTATTTTGTGAAAGTTGCATTAATTTACAACTACAGAGTCTCTTCACCACATGGACATCTGGAAATGATGTAATTGATAACTTTATTCAACAATGTCAAATAAAATCATCTCTGCCAACTTATATTTTAGAATGGATACCTTTTGAGCAATTTAAAAAAGTAACAAAATTGACAGAAGGTGGATTTAGTTCAATTTATACTGCTACATGGACAAGAGGAAAAATAGTTGATTATGACGAAAATAAAAAGGAATTTAGTTATTTAGGAATGGAAAATGTAGTATTAAAAAGTTTAAATGATTCAAGTAATCCAGGAAAGGCTTTTTTGATGAGGTTGGTAGTTGTCATTTAAAACAAAATAAACAATGTATAATACTAATTGATTTTTATATTTAATTACAGGCAATGAATTATTGTAAAATTAGAGCACCACTGATTGTTTCACAGATAATGGGAATTATGCATTTTTTTACCTTATGGAAATTTAAGGAGTAATTTACAAAAAAAACTATTTAAATTTAACATTAAAAATAGAATTATAATAATTTATCATTTATGTGATGCATTACATCAGATAGGTTGGAAAGATTTAATCCATTGTGATTTATATAGCGGTAATATATTATTGCAAGGAGATAATTGTTTTATTACAGATTTGGGATTATGTGATCCAGTTGATGAAAAGTCATCAGGCAAAGTCTATGGAATTGTAGCATATGTTGCACCTGAAGTATTTAAAGGCAAAAAGAAACAGATATCTATAGTGTTGAGATGTTAATGTGGGAAATATTTGCATGTCATCCACCATTTGATGATAGAGCTCACAATCATTGTCTAATTTTGATATATGTGCAGAAGGTTTACGACCACCAATATTGCCTGGAATGCCTGAAGATTATGCACAAATGATGCAGAGGTGTTGGGATGTGGATCCATCAAAAAGATCAATTAGTAGAGAGCTTGGGACTTTGCTGAAAACAAACATATGGAAATTGTTAAAATAATAATGGTAACATGTTATTGAAGTGTGCCGAAAACGATGGTGCTTTCACATTAAAGGCTGATAATAATTCTCCAGAGACTTTATTCATGTCATTTTCGGCTCTAAGTAAGCAAAAAATTTATTTGCTAACTTTCAGAAAATAAATTATTTAATAAATTAATTGTTTATTTATTTATTTTATATGCAAATGATAAACTTAGTGAATATGAATTGAAATTTATGGACATTGATCAAGAGAATTTAAGTATTCCAGAAACAGTATATGATGCAATAGTAAGTTTACCATCTGCCAAGTTTCAAAAAGTGTGTCATGACATGACGGTTACTGGCAAAACTGGTAATTTATATAACATTGTTGTTTTTTTGAAATATATTGCTATGATTGTTATTATTGTTATTATAGTTAATTAATATTAGATTATTTTTCTTAAAAAATTGTAATTGACAGTTATGAAATTAGATTCATTACAGATGTGAACTTGGTAATGGCAGCATAAAATTGAAATCAACTTCCTCCCATAGATAAAGTGATTATTTTTTTAATGATTTTTAAAATATTTATTTGTCTGAAGAAACAACGAAATTATTAATATATTAGATGAATTTTACTAAAGATTTCCCATTATCTGAGCAGGTTAGATTATGTTTATCTGAAGAGATACCATTGCTTGTAGGATATACCATAAATTCTACAAGTAGTTTTCTTTGATATTATCTTGCACCAAAGATTAATGAATAATAATAAATAAATAGATGAGTAAGTTAGTAATTTTTAATAAAAAAATTATTAGATTTTATGAATGTACTTTAAATATGAAATAATAAGATAATAAATTTGCATTTGAAAATAACGCATTTTATTTTTTATTTATTTATTTAAAAATTATATATGCATAATAATATTTACAAGAAGGAGAAAGATATATGAATATATATATATATATATATAGAAAAATAAATGCAAATAATAAATTCTAAGAAAATTAATAATAATAATAATAATTAACCTTCCATGCTTCCACAATATAATTAATAAATTATTATTGTGGAAATAATCCATGTACTTGAAGTCTATATAAACAAGTAAATCTTGGGTTCTCATGATTATTCAAAACCTTCATCATTATAGCTTGAATGCGTTTATTGTTGACTCTTGAAATAGATTTTGGCAAATGGAATATTTGCAATGGTTTGCCCATTAAATCATATTGATATTGGCCTAAAAATATACTGAAATCCTTAATTTTAAAAAATTTTCTCTTGAGTGATTTAAAATTGTTTTTGTTTTCATCATCATCATTGTTATTGCTGCTGCTGTTACTACTGCTGTCATTATTATGATTATCATTATGAATATGATGAATGTTATGATTGTGGATTTTATCATGAGTATGATTATTAACACCATTATCACCATCATTATTAATATTAATGTTATCATCATTCGAAACAACATTTTCTTTTTTTCTTTTAACATCTTCTTCATTGTCTGAAGGTAATCCCCACAATTCAAAATCTTTAGGAACAGAACTGATTGGATCAATTGAAACATTTTTGCCAATATGATGTAGTGCCAATTGAGTGAAAACAATATTTCTAGATAATTTTATGGCAATTTGACCTTTTGTACCATTGAAACACCAACACTCACCAACATTGGTATTTGGTTTTAACACTACATCTGGTTCACGACTTTTTATAATATTTTGATGTGTTAAATAACCCCATAGTTTCTGGTGCATTTTTCTTGGCCATTCTTCATAAACTCTTGATGTTAGTTGACTTATAATTTGTGCACCACTTGTAAATAAAGCATAATCAGTACTTGACCCATGAACAATCTTTGTTAACTTATCTTCTAATTCCTAATATTTAATTGATTAATTAATTGATCAATTAATGATATTAATATTAATAAAATTATTATTATCACTTTTAAATATAATATACCTCAGATATTTGTGTTCTAACTAAACCAATAAGATCATTGGGTTTATTATTATTGTTGGCTAAATTGTGAGTTCTTTTTGAAATCTCTTTCTCGGCATACTTTATAACTTGTTCTTTTACCTTGTCACGAAGTTGAACATTATTTAATGACCTTTTGTGTTGATGATGACCAGTAGTAAACTGTTGATAATAATAATTTGCACCAAATTCATTAAAAAAAATTATAATCAACACTATTATAACAAATAGATTTGTTTTTGTTCCTAAACTTTTTAAATACGAATAATCAATATTGTAAATAAAATTTTTTATATAATCTTGAAATTTATGATGTGTCTCCGTATAAGATTGTTCTCCTCCAATTAATTCAATGGTGTCATTGTTTCCATTCTTATCACCATCGCCATCGCCATCGCCATTGTTATTATTGTATGTGTAATTGTCACTAACCGTGCTACCAAAATAACTACAACCACTTTCACTATTACTTATCTGGTTAATACTAATATTACTATAATTGATTTCATTATTATTAAGCTCACTACAAACGCTACTGCTGCTACCTACACCACAAATATCACTATCATTGTCATTATAATAATCGTTATCATCAGCAGTTATTAGTGTTGAAATTCGCGAATCAATAAAATTATTGTTGTTGTTGTTGTTGTTATGTTGATAATGATCATTACTAAATTCCAACGAATCTATTTGATTATTGCTGCTGTTGTTGTTATCATCAATAATTGTCTTAATTAGTAATTGCATTGTATCCACTTTTTTTGTAACTTCTATTCCAGCAGCCGTTAATTGATCTTTATAATTTGTAAATAAATTTTTTTTCATTTTATAATACATAACTTCTTGTAAAGCATCGAAATTATTAACCAGCCAGAATTCTTGTGACTGGCTATTGTAAAGTTTTTGCCTGATTTCTAGTACGGTTAATTCCGCACCAAGTAATTTTTGAGCATCTTGTTGTATACGCGATACAGCTAATAGAAAAGCATCATCTAGTTCTGCTAAAGTTGGAAATACCGGATATAACCAACGTCTTGGACTTGTTTTGCTACGAGTAATGGGTGACATTATTGTTCTTATTTTTTTATTTTATTTGAACGATTTAAATCTTTTTAATGGAATAAAACCACGTGAAAGAAATTATATAAATTAGATCCAAAATCCGCTGTGTAACAGGATTAGTTCACTGAACTTCTACATATTTAGTATAAAAAAAGGAGTCATTTATTTTAAGGGGTATTCCTAATTAATATTATTATTATTATGCGGATTTTTTTATGGTATATACTCCCCTTTTTTCCTCTAAAAAACAGTGTAACAAAAAAATTTTGCATGTTAAATTTTTATTTTTGAATCTTTCAAGCAATTTAATTGCGTGAGGTAAAAAAAATATTACAACTACGAACTTTCAATCGCTAAGGCTTCTGATAAATCGTTACATTTATGAAATTATTAAATCGGGGGACGTTTCTAGAACAGTACCATGTAGGGAAAATCTTTATTTCGTACAATTTTTTCGGAAGTTGCAATAGATAGAAGTATTATGATAAAGAAAAAAATTTCTGTATTTTGAATGGGATTTTTTACGTCATTGGTACTTTATATCCATTAAATCTTTCCATAGCTCTAATCTATATTACATGTACCATCTTGCACGCTAATTTGGTGTCCATATATTTGAAAACGGATGAGTAGTGGTGGTTTGAAAACAGCATGTTTTATTAGCATTTTATTAATATTACGAACTTTCAATTGCTAAGGCTTCTGGAAAATCATTACTAGTGATCACAATCATCATATTCATGAATATTCATTAAGGGGGTTACACTTATCAAAATCAAGTGATTGACACATA